TACAGACAGATAAATACATAATTCCACACAATTTCCATTCAGTTAACAAAAATTTCGCAATCCCATGTGATGGAATAATAGGGATCGATTTTATAAAAGCACTAAATTGTCAAATTGATCTGAAACCTTCAGAAGACTGGTTTATAATACGACCAGATAATATAGACCTTCAAATTTATGTCCCAATAACATACAGTTCTGGTAACAATACAATACTGCTACCAGCAAGATCACAAGTTGTCCGAAAAGTAGAACTAACTTCGAGTGAAGATAGTGTGCTAATCCCAAACCAGGAAATTCAAACTGGTATATATGTTGCAAACACCGTTGCAACCACTCAAAACGCATTTGTCCGATTACTAAATATAACCAGTAGAGACCAGCTAATTAATTTAAATAATTTAAAATATGAACCACTTTCGAATTACACTATAGTTCAACCAACTCCTAAAATAAGGGAACAAACTGTCCTAGCTCAGCTCACAAAGAACTTTCCAGTTGCATTCAAACAACCATTAACGGAATTATGTTCCAAATATAGTGACATATTCGGACTTGACACCGAATCAATAACAACAAATAATTTTTATAAACAGAAATTGAGATTGAGGGATGATGAACCAGTATACATAAAATACTATCGAAGCCCGCATAGCCAAGTTGAGGAAATACAAAAACAGGTAGGAAAATTAATAGACGACAAAATAGTCGAACCATCCGTGTCAGAGTATAATAGCCCCTTATAACTTGTACCAAAGAAAGCCCTTCCGGGCACAGAGCAAAAGAAATGGCGATTAGTAATTGACTATCGTCAAATAAATAAAAAACTCCTGTCAGATAAATTTCTACTACCTAGAATTGATGACATTTTAGATCAACTAGGTAGAGCAAAATACTTCTCATGCCTTGACTTAATGTCAGGTTTTCATCAAATGGAACTAGAAGAAGGTTCACGTAATATAACGTCTTTTTCAACGATCAATGGCTCATATCGCTTCACGCGACTACCATTTGGTTTAAAAATAGCGCCAAATTCATTTCAAAGAATGATGACTATTGCATTATCTGGACTTGAAGCTTCGCAAGCATTCCTATATATGGACGATCTTATAGTCATTGGTTGTTCCGAAAAACATATGCTCAAAAACTTACAAGATATTTTTGAGTTATGTAGGAAACACAACCTAAAATTACACCCACAAAAATGTTCATTTTTTATGCATGAAGTGACCTTTCTCGGTCATAAATGCACAGATAAAGGAATCTTGCATGATGACAAAAAATATGAAGTCATCAAAAACTATCCAGTCCCGCATGACGCGAATAGCGCTAGACGATTCGTTGCATTTTGCAATTATTACAGACGTTTTATCAAAAATTTCGCCGACTATTCACGGCACATAACTAGATTATGTAAAAAGAATGTTCCATTTGTATGGACAGATGATTGCCAAAATGCATTCTTACATTTAAAGGAACAACTTATCAAACCAACTCTGTTACAATACCCAGACTTCACAAAAGAATTTTTTATAATAACGGATGCAAGTAAGCAAGCGTGTGGAGCGGTTTTAACTCAAAACCACAATGAACTCCAACTTCCTATTGCATACGCATCAAGATCATTCACAAAAGGTGAAAGTAACAAGAGTACAACTGAACAGGAATTAGCAGTAATTCATTGGGCAATTACTCATTTTCGACCATATATATATGGCAGACACTTTACAGTGAAAACAGATCACAGACCATTAACATATCTATTTTCATTGGTCAATCCTAGCTCAAAACTTACACGCATGCGGCTTGAATTAGAGGAATATGACTTCACAGTCGAGTATCTAAAGGGAAAAGATAATTATGTAGCAGATGCGTTATCAAGAATAACCATCAAAGAATTAAAGAATATGGCAGAAACAATATTAAAAGTCACTACAAGACAGACAAGTAGACAAAAATCCTGCGCAGGAAAACAAAAGATAGAATTGCCTATTCATTCTCTAGAAAAAGCTACAAAGCCTAACGTATATGAAGTCATTAACAATGACGAAGTACGCAAAATAGTGACCTTGCATGTAAAAAATAATTTATGTTTTTTCAAACATGGAAAAAAAACGAGAAGGAACGTGTGAGTCGCTTCTGGGGACGCGACTCTACTTATACCCGTACTCAGTCATTATATACATTTTTGAGCATGATTTTTTAGAATTTTAGAATTAAAAAAAAATTTTACATTTTACATTTTTTTGCTACATTTGTTATCTACATCTCATCTACAATGTCTATTCTACATCTAACATGTAGTTTGTACAAGTACCATTTAGATTCTACATCTCCTCCGCTAGGGGTTGCTCGCGCACTGAACGCGGCAGAGTGTGCGAGCGAGAAGGAAAATGAGTTGCGTTGTCGTTTGTGGAGGGGGGAGGGGAAGCAACTGAAAACTAATTTCTTCATTCTGGCTATAATTATGACCCGATCTGATTCAGATTCGGCAATCTGGTAGATATGGGCGTTCTCTACGATACTGCGTTTTTAGTTTTATCGTATCTTTAAAACTGTGCCTGCCACAGATTTTCGTCCTTTGTGCGGGCGGAAGGGGGCGGGCGAAATTTTGAAATACACTTGTAGCAGTGTGATATCACATGAGTCTGGAAACCAAATTTGGTTTCTCTAGCTCTTATAGTCTCTGAGATCCAGGCGCTCATCAAGACGGACGGACGGACAGACGGACAGTCGGATAGACGGACAGACGGACGGACAGACGGACATGGCTATATAGACTCGGCTATTGATGCTGATCAAGAATATATATACTTTATGGGGTCGGAAACGTTTCCTTCTCTGCGTTGCACACATCCACTTTTACCACAAATCTAATATACCCCTTAACTCTTTTTTGAGTACGGGTATAATTACAGCAAGATATGAAGTTAGCGATTTGTATACTAATGGAACCCTTGACTTACGTCAGTTCTTCCAAAGGCTTGAAATGCAAGCCGGTAAACAAAGAATCAGCCAACTCAAAGTGGCACCGTGGGAAAATATCTTTGAATACATTTCAATAGATAATTTTAAAAATATGGGCAATAAAATATTGAGAACATTAAGAGTAGCGATACTCAACCCGGTGACCCTAATAACAAATATTAAAGAAAAAGAAGCAATCTTGTCTACACTACATGATGATCCAATACAAGGAGGACACACAGGCATATCTAAAACGTTAGCAAAGATAAGAAGACATTACTACTGGAAAAACATGACACGTCATATAACCAAGTACGTACGTAATTGTCCAAAATGCCAAGTATCAAAAATAGTTAAACATACTAAAACCCCTCTTACCATTACAGAGTCACCAATAAGTGTATTCGACCGAGTACTAGTCGACACGATTGGACCATTACCAAAATCTGACAATGGCAATGAATATGCAATCACCCTAGTATGTGATTTGTCAAAATACCTAGTAGCCTAGAGGTGGAAAAACATCGATGTTTGGAGACATCGATGTTTTTCGATGTTTTAGTGAAAAACATCGATGAAACATCGATGTTTTGCAAGATAACAAAAAAAATTTTAAAAAATACATACAATACTGCAAAGCATATGATTAAAATTATAAAAAATAACAGTTTTATTTCATTTGAGATCAAAATCCATTCAGAACAATATACAAAAAAAAAGGTAATTTTCCCAGATTTTAAAACAAGTCCTGATTCTTGTTTAGAAATAATAACTGGTCCACCACTTCCGGCTTAAGGCGACTACGACGTTCGGAAATAATTTGTCCAGCCTTGCTGAACATCCTCTCTGACTCGCAGGATGTTGCCGGGATGCAAAAATATTTTCGGGCTGCAGCTTTAAATGGCATCATGCCGCCTGTATTCATCCACTAAAAATGTAACTATGAATTTAAAAGTATTTCAATTGAAATATTAGTATTACCTTCCAATATAAGAGAGGATCAGTTTCCTTGGGCTCGTTAAGGTTTGTTGTCTTAAAGTCATAATGGCATCCGCGCGAGTTGATTTAACTTTAACCTTTACTTTGTTTTGCAGAAAAGAAAATGTTGGATTCGATGGAGGTTCGGATAGTGTTTGAAGTTCCTGTGGAGTTTTCGACAAGAAATTATCAATTTCCTTCTCCAAAGCAGTAGCTGCTTGATCTGCATTCGTAATCGTTAAAAATCCCTCCTTTTTAAAGCGTGGATCAATTATTGTTGCTATTTGAGCAACAGTTCGTGTTTCGTAGTGAAGGAACCTTGTGTTTAAACGAGTACATAAGAATTTTAAGGCACTCAGAACTTCTACAGTTTTTAGTTTCGATTTTAAGTTGTTCAGCTTTTGCTGTATTTCGCAAGTAAGTGGAATAACCAGAGATATGGTTACATACTTGCTGCCGGAAATTGCGACAGTTGCTTCTTGGAACGGAGAAAGAATTCAGCTAATTCCTTCATAATATCAATTTCCTCTACGGAAAATGGTAGTGGCGCCTTAGGCAAACTAAGCAAGACGGTTGATAATGTGTCGTAGTATAAGAGCCTTTTAACCATGGCGACGCACTGTTCCAACGAGTAGCCACTTCTTGAATTAAACCCATCGGATTTTCAACATCCTGTGCCTGTTTAAATTTTGCCATTCCAATCAGGCTGCGTTTCATAAAAGTAACAATAGCTTTACATTTCGACAAAACTGGATCAAGAATGTCTATTTTAGCACATCTTGAATAAGCAAGTTAAGTGTATGGGCAAAACAAGGGAAATGTGTAATTCCGAGACGCTCACAAGCCTTTTTCATCGAAGCGTCATTGTCTGTCACAATGCAAACAACTTTCTCCCTAGACCCCACTCTCTAAAACCACTCGAATCGATTCTGCGATATTGGCAGCCGTGTGGTTAGTTTGGTTTATCAGAGTCGTTGTGGACAGTACGGCTGAATTTAGCTGGAATTCCGAATTTATAAAATGGCAAGTTATGGTTAATAGCCCTCATTTGCCATGGACGTCCATCCGTCGGCTGTGATCGCCACATTTTCCACGCAATCCAAGGCAAATTTAAGTTTTGTTTTCAAATCTGCATATGCGTTTGGAATCGCTACGTTACGGAGATGGGTTTTGCTTGGTAACTTGTAGCGGGGGTCCATTTCTGCTAACAACTCACGAAATCCTCTATCATTGACAACACTAAACGGTTGCACGTCAATTGCGATCATTCGCAATCATTGAGTATTCACGTTTGCTTTTCAAAGGTCCAGCCTCACAGTTTTCCTTTGAAGTTCCTATGATATAGAAATAATATATTTATTAATATTTTATGCATACATATGTATGTATGTGTGTGCATGTGAAAAAGCACATGTGCGTTTACTCTATTGTTGAATAACGTGAATAACTTACTCTTAAGATTTTTTTCCATCGCTCAATAATTGCACACTGCACAGGCTACTTCCAATCCAAACGAAGACAATTTATAAGCTATATATAAAAGAGGGTTTTAATATAAATAACAAATAGCTCCATTAACGACATACATTTTGCGCTTAATCGTCTTCTCTCTTTATGTTTTCTTTCATAGACGGAAAAAACATAACAACAAAACAATGATGTTACGACAAAAAACATCGATGCTTATAAAAATTTTAAAAACATCGATGCATCGATGGTCTCAAAGATGTTTTTCCACCTCTAACTCCAGTGTGTTGGCGAGGATCGGGGTGGCGTCGGCCGTGGGTACGACAGGGCGGCGGTCGGTGCATCGTGGGTTATCGTCCTGATTTCCGGGCCCGCGTTGAGGGGCTCTGTGGATATCAGTTCAATTATGGGCTCCGACCAGCGTGGGGTTAGCGTGGCTGTTTCCCGTGTTGCTGGGCTGTCGGATGGTGGCTGCCGTTGTCCTTGTTCGATGCTGGTGGTCGGCTTTGAGGGTGTCCGTGTGTTCAATTCTTCCGTTGCGGATTCTGTGCGTGCTTGCTCTGTTGCTTGTCTTCGATCTGGGCTTCCTGTGTCGAGCGTCGGGTTCAAGTGTGTTTGTCTCGTGTTTGAGATCCTCGTGGTTTGTTTGGGATGCGTGTTCCCTGTTGTGGGCCTAGGACGCGGTTGCTCCGTAGTGACCGTGGGACTCGTTTTCCCGATTGCTTGGTTGCTGTTTGCTGGTGTTGACCTTGGATTCGTGTTCTCCGCAATGTGCCGTTGCTTCGTATTCGTTACGATTGGTTTGGGTGTCAAGTGCTTCGTTGCGTTATTGGGTTCCGTGAGCGTTGTGGTAGGTCGTGGACGTGGGTTCGTTGCGATTTGTTGAAGTTTCTGGTATCGAGGTTCGGCGTCTTGTACGTGGATGGTTGTAAGCACGGGTTCAGTGGGCATGGGGTGACGGTCTCGTAGCTGTAGCAGCGTGGAGCCTCATTGGATCGTCGTTTCGGTGGCACCTAGGAAGTCCATGTCGACAATGACTTGTCCCAACTTGTTTGGCAGGACCAGGAGCGGGATTTGAACCTCTCGTTGATCCAGCTTAATGTGCGCCAGTAGAACTTGTGAGATCTCTCTGACCGAGCCATCGGCCAGGCGTATGCGGACGAATGCATCTTGCAGGTTGGTGTTGTTGTCTAGTTGTCGGGCGAGGTTTGCGCTGATAAAGCTTCTGGAAGCCCCGGTGTCGATTGTGGCTTCCGTATCCCCCTATGCTTACCATCGCCACTATCCGGACGTTGCTTACGTGTAGAGAGTTATTTAGTCGCGGGTTGCAGGAGGCGTCGTTCCCGGCTGATCCCGTGTCAGTTGGGGACGCATGTCGTTTCCCGACGTATTCTGGCGGCAGCAATCGACGGTCCGTGTGCGGCGTTTGCCACATTCCCAGCAGAATAGGATCGAGGGACTATGGCAGTCGTATGCCGCATGCCCGGCTTCACCACACCGGCGACAGGCGGTGCGTGGGTTGGCGATGGGGTCGTGATCATGCGAGGTGCTATATCGGGATTCGTCGTACTGTTTGGTTGAGCTGGCGGTCACCCTGGTGTGTCTGTCGACTCCCAATGTGGTCTCCGAAATGGCGTCCATTGCGAGTCACTGTTCCTCTGCTCTGTAGCTGGCCTTGGGTATCTTGGCGTGTTCCGCGGGGGTGCGAAAGTGGTCGGAATGGTCCGCTCTGGGATGCTCTCGAACTCTGTGGCCAACAGTGTGAGCTGTGCTAAGCTTTGTAGTTCGTGTCGGCGCACGTACATCTGATATGCTGGCAGCGCGTTGTCGTAGATCCTGTTCAGTTCCTTGGCTGCGTCGTACCTGGAGAGGTGCATGAGTAGACGTATCTCGATGAGGAAATCTTTGAACAGTTACCCCGCCACTTGCTTGCGGGCTCCGGTCTTCCAATTGTTCAAAAGAAGAACGTTAAGAATTCCTGGCGGAAATTTTCCCATGAGGAAATTTGTAGGCGGCTGGTGCGGAACCAACGACTGGCACGGTCTGTGAGAAGTTCGGCCATGGCCCGCGGCAGATGGTTTGTGTCCACCCCATACGAGAGCGCGCGTTCTTCGAGCAGTTCGATTAATGATAGAGGGTCATCCTGGCCGTCAAACTGGATTCCCCACTTTCGGATGCGTTCCGGGTCCAGGAGTAGTGGGTGACTTGGAAGCGAGAGCGTGAGGCTGGTTTGGCATAGTGCATCTCGAACTCTTCTAGGCGAACCCAGGCTTCTTGCGCGAGTGGCCCGGCGACTACTGCGGCAAATTTCTTTCGGCGTTCATCGACCGTTCCTTCGCTGCCGAATCCAAATTCTTCGGCGAGGACTTCTAGTTCGTCCCGACGGAGTTTGTGGATCCAGCCGGTGCTGACCCCTGGATTGGAAAAGTGTCCCGCATGGTATGCCTCCTCTGGTTGTTCATCGTCGTGATGTTCCATGTTGATTTCTGTTGATTTTTGGCAATGAGTCACTGTTAAACGGCACTTTTAGGATCGGCACTGCGTATACTTTCGCGTTTGTTTTCGCGCCCGGATTATGTAAGTGCGCGGACTTGTTATTGATTCAATTTTCTTTTTGATGGCAGTGGGTCTTTAATCCACGAAGTCCCTGATTTCGGTTTTCTTGAAGTTTCCACGAAAAATCCTTTAAAGTCCCTGCTCGGACGCCACTTGTAATGTCCTATCTCAGGCTGAGGTATGCATCAGTCTGTCCAGGGTCCTGCTACGGCTGGTGGACTCGCTGCCTACGATGGCTGCCTTTTTCTTCATGCAAGGCAGTGCCTTCCATTTTCCCATGAATGTCTTACAGATATCTTATTTCTACTCCAGAATGTGGGAAGGGTTCTTACATAAATATATATTGCCGAATTATAGTCTGCGCGTGCAGACGGGCTGATCGGTAACAGAAGGTTACCTAATCATTAGCCCTGCAGTCAGTGTCCAATACTCCTGGTAAGGAAAGTCGGAGACTACTGACTGGCGCGCGCATGTGGGGGGTCTGCCCGGTAATCGAGGGTTACCTAAGCAATCGCCTCCCAACAAGTGTCCAATGTCCCAGGTAAGGTGATCGGTGTGCACCGGTACCGTGGGAAAGGAATTTCGTTGGCATTATTGCGTAAGCCCCTTGTGCTGGTCTCCTGTCTTTTGGCGTGTGCTGAGTTTGCATTTTTTCTGGGTGTTGATCGCTTCACCTGGGAGTAGCGTTGGCTGCGTCGCATGCTTGTGACGAACCATGGAATCCATGGTTCGTTACAAGATGTAGTCTTCTTTCCATCGCGTACAGAAGATATGGAGTAAGTAAGTAACGCAATTGACGCAAGATCAGGCATGTTACGCTAGGTTCAGGAAACGAAAAGAGAGGGCCACGAACTGGCCCATCCAGATCGGCAGAGCTCTCTGTAATTGAAGCTAATGTTGTAGGATTAAAAATGCCCAAAATGTGGCCTGAATTGTCAGTGATACGTAAGTAATTGTAAGCAATAGTCCAATATTGGGATGGACTTAGTGCAAGCAGAGCACGAAGTCCAGCGTGAAGTTTCTGCTTATTAGCATTGATGAACGCTAAGGTGATGGTGCGCCGAACTAACGAAGATTGAGAATGTGTTCCATAAATCAAAAGAGGGGGCTTGTTCAAGTGAATTCGACGAGACCAACGAGAAGGAAGACCATCCGGATTCTGACCGTTTGATTTCATGCAGCTACTGGCACGATAAGTCTCAATGCTGACGTTGCAGAATCCGTCAATTTCACACTCAGAGTTTAGAGCGGGTCTTGATAAAGGAAGTTTAGGACCAGGTAGTCCGGAGGGGTCGTTGGGCTGTTCTTCTGTAGACAAGGCATGAACTGATCGCCTGCAGGGGCGCGTCGACGACTGAATGTTCAAGCACGAGAGTATTGGTTCTTCAGTAGCCGGTTCCGAAGCTAGTTCCAACGGTGCTGGGTCATCGCTGCCAATGTCGAACTTCAAATGTAGTTCCTTGTAACCTGTCGTCAATTGAGCAGCTGACAAAGCTGGTTTCTACAAAATCGTATTGTACTCCTCCTGAGAACGGGAGCTGGATTCCGAGACATCCATGCATACGTCGCGAAAATGATTTTCTGCATCAACAGACTGCTCTACCCGCTCATCTGTTGTCAACTGCAGCATTTGCCCCACAGATAAGCATGTGGCAGGCTTCTTTGTATCCGCAGATGGCGATTGCACAAGGCATAGAACGAGTGCCGGATTCCTCCGTGGTGGAAGCTGTCTGCCAACAATATTAGCAATAATAGTTTTTGCTGAAACTGTAGAGGGAGGAGGCAGGTGAGGGTTGAGACGAGAGATTTCAAGCCGAATCGAAGCATTCAGCGGCATGAAACCACAATTAAACTTTTCGCACAATCTAATGTGATTATTGTCGTAATCCAACTCTTGGAGCTCGTTGTGCAGGGTTTTAAAAGTGTCCCGCAGCTCCTCGATCTCCTCAAGCCATACAACTAGCGTAAAATAATCACGCAGCGATATCTCACTCTCCAAAATAGCCTTCATCCTTTCCAATTCTTTTATTAATGATTGTACTTTCAGTCGCAGGAAAGTCACCCTGTTTTTAGCAGCGGCTACTGCAATGTCGTTTCCAGCATCGGTTCCCATAGCAAGGGCAGAGTTAGAAACGTTTCTATCGGGAAGATGACCGAAAAGAGCACCTATGTGGTCGATGAAACGGGTTGAGACAGCAGGCAAACGAACGAACGGAACTTGAGGGTAGTTTCGATATTAAATTGTAGTTTGTAATTTGCACTACCGAATTGTTTATTGCACAAATCACGTCGGGGTCACCAAATGTTGAGCTAGCGAGCTTTTTCACTAGCTGTTGAATTTAGATTAAATTAAGAAGCCGAGCGATTCAATATACTTTATGTGTGTACAGTTTATTTGTTAAGTAGGCGAAATATGGGATGCGTAGGTGTAGCGAAATAAAGCGAGAGGTGCCGGTTGATCAAATCAAAGCGAGAATTGAAGACGCAGGGTCTGTTCAATATGCGAGAGAAGTGAGTGATTGATCAAGACGGTAGAACGTGAGTGCGATAATGATGACGATCAATTAAAGACTAAAAGAGGGCAGGCGGACCGAATTGCCCGTGCCCTAATGCAAGCGAGAGAGAGAACGAACGAAGCGATAGAAGCTCGGCTGCCGCTGAGCCGAGCACGAGAGATAGATAGAGAGAGAGAATGCGAAAGAACAGCATAGATGATGCAGCTGAAGTAGCAAATGAAAAAGGAGATATAAAGAGGCGAAAGAACGGCCGCTGCCGTGAGTAATTATAATCGGTTACAATATATATATATGCAGTGGGCAATGCAAATAGAAAACAAAGGTGAGATTACGTTAATTTGCTCCACTGGCTATTTTGAGAAATTTATTGGGGAATTTCAGGCCGGTAAACCAGACTGTTTTCTTCTTTGGTTTCCATCTGCCTGCGAGCAGAACTTCTCAGTCAGTCACAAATAAACATTGCAAATGAACGAACTCAACGGCTACCTTTTTTCTGTTAAAATATAAATTTCCACGGCATTGGTCAAACTCTGTTCAACAGAAATTTTCTTGATTAACATTGATATTGCCATAATATCTGAAATTTGGATCAAAAATAATGCCATGTGTAGTTAAATTTCAACTTTATCTGTAAAGAGCGGGAGAATGGTTACGGAGGTATTGGAATTTATATAAGGAAAAATATACAATTTAAAATTTTGAAATGCAATACAAGTCTTGAAGTCATAGGTCTAAGTACAGAAAAGTACTTGGAATGATTTTGAACATCAAAATTTCCTTAAGCAAATTGCAGACATACCCAACACTAACTCTCGTGAGCATACTGTAGTATGCACATATCCAATACCCACTGTACCAAGTGTACTTAAGGGGAACACACTGTAACCCTTTGTTGCAGTGTTTATGTAATTAAAAGTCCCAGACACAACTTGAGCTATCGTATTACGATCGGCCAAGAATGTCTCGAGCGACATAAGTGCAGCGACAACATATTCCCATGACTTGACGGCACATGCATACACACATACATATACATCTTCCCTCGCGCCCTCGCTGTCAGCAGCGCTGGGCATATACACACATACATATACATGCATAAACATTAAATACATAAATGCGAACGCTCCGCTGCCGACGCTCCGTTGCCGGCGTTCCTGGCAGCGCAGCTACGCTGGCTTTAGCCAAGTAGATTCTAAGATATATTTCATGTGAAGATTCGAATAAAGCAAACGAAAGAGAACGGATGTTCTCTTTCAAAGAATTACAATTAATGAATACTGTTTCTACATGGTGACCGTGACAGTGAAAAAAAAAACTAACTAAAATAAAACGCAAGTGCAAGTGTTAAATGGGCTGCCTAAGTTGGAATGGAATATAATATTTCAAAGACTGTGAAAATGAGCATTGAACGTGTCTTTGGAGAACAACGGCCCACCGAGAAAATGTAAAAGTGGATGCTTTGGTGTGGATTCTTTTCACGCAAAAGGAAAATCGAAAAACAAAAAAAAATACAATTGTTGCAAATACAATTATTAACAAAAAAAAAAATACAATACAACTACAATGCCCTGTGCGATGACCGGCACCGGCCCCGCCTGAGCCCATAGGCCCAGGACAGCTGCAGCTGTAAATATAAGCGTGAGAGGCCTGTCGCCCCTTGCGCCATCGCTGGACCAAACTGGAGACGGATCTCATCAACGCTGCTCCTATCGAGCAAAGGGACAAGCCAAGCCTACAGGAGGCTCTGGAGGCTTGTCCAACCGATGGACCACGCCCACTCACAATAGCTGAGTACCGGGCATGGCAGCAGCAGCAACAGCAGCCTAAACCAAAAAAGAAGCGGGGAGGAAAAAAAAGTAAAACTCCTCCGCCAACGGCGTTTAGCCAAGGAAATGATGCGCGCCGCAACGGAAGAAGACGTGAAACAAATCCACATGCAGGAACTAGCCAGGATTAATGCAGAACTTCGCATTGGTGCGGAAAAACGTAAATAAGGCTGCATTAATGCAAATGCCTTCATTTACCAATAATATAATATAGTTTTAAAACCACAAGTAGATGCGCGAAAACGCTGCTTGTAAAACACTAACAAATTTTTTAATGATAGGCTATAACCACTAAGCAAGTGGTATAGTGCTATAACTAACAACATATGGCTGATATAGAAATTATATAGAGCAAACAAATGTAAATCAGCCATATGCCCTAAACTTTTCTTACTTAACATTTTCATAAAAAAACAAAAAAAATTTTTTCTTAACATTTCCAAAATAAAATCCAATTTCAAATTAAATTTCAACTACGAATTTCAAACCCGATTAGCGGAAATATACAACCATGGGCTGGTTTGGTTCTGACGACAGTCAGACGAAAGACAATACGGCCAATGTGGTCAATAATGTAAAAATTATTGATCACACAGATGGTATACAAGCCTTGTTTGTATTACTTCTAATACTGACCATAGTCAGTACGCTACAATTTTTGCTAACATTATATGTTAAGCACAACAAAATAATAAAGAAAAGATATATGAGTAGAGCTATAAATCTAGATAGGGTCTAATTTATCATGACTACTTAAAAAATAATAGAAGAAGTCTACAATAGGGACCCAAATTTTTGAAATAGAATTCTACAATTGGTCTCAACGACCCCTAGGAGCATACTAGATCTCGAATATATGTACCTGGATGCATTTCAACTAGAATTCTCACCCTTAATACATTGTTCAAAAACACAAAAAGCAATTGTGTTAACTACCATTCCAGGTATCGCGGTAAAATCAGTAATAAATGAGCATTCCATTCTAGGCAGGTTCATCGACTTCGTAATATTTAAATCTTAAATTCGAGAATTTTGGTTAATGATGTCAGATTGTCTTCCATTCGGAATGAACAACATAGAAACACCACATGGCCTGGCTTACGATCTGCGCTAAAGTCTGTAGTCTTAGAGCAGAGTTCGATAAGTCCTATAAATGCTTAACGCAAAACAGACCTACTCAAAATAGTACGGTCATTAAACATGTAACCAACCTAGTAGAAATCTACAATGAGATCAGAGAGCTTTTTCTAACAAAAAAACAAAGACTTGACGATATACATTGGTTTCAAGCAACAGACATTTTCAAACGTCTAAGAGAACGATTGGTTACCGTTAAAGAAAAGCTCAATTTGGACATACATATACCAACAATTCTCAACACAGCAGCGACATATATACCAGCTGTAGAATCGGGATCAAGGCCAAAAAGCCCCAGGCCCCCGAATATCAAAAATATTAGCATAATATCGGAAGACGATTCTCGATCAAATCGATCGAACCTTCCAATAAACGACGACACCTCGTCAACTAATGCAGCATCGAGCAACCAACATAATCAAACCGTCACAATGGCAGACGAAACTGTAGCCCAACGGGCATATATCAAAGATATTTCGCACGTCATCCCAGAGTTTAATGGGCAAAAACTGCATTTACAACGCTTTATTACAGCAGTCAAATTAGTCAATCTAACGAAAGGACCATACGAAACTCTAGCTGTAGAGGTCATCAAATCTAAAGTTGTAGGGACCTTCTACTACAAAATCCAGGATGAAACCACCATAAACGCAATAATAAAGAAATGGCAAGACACAATTGTCGGTGAATCATCAGATGTCGTAAAGGCTAAAATTGCAAAAATTTGCCAAAAAGGGAAGACATCGGCCCAATTTACAAACAGAAATCGATAATTTACGAAAGCTCCTTGAAGCTTCGTACATCGATGAAGGTCTACCTTCAGAACATGCTGATAAATTCAGCACAAAAGAAGCCATTAGCACAATGGTTAAAAATTGTGAGCATGGTAGACTAAAGACCATTCTTGAGGCAGGTAATTTCTTGACAATGAACGATGCCGCTTAAAGTGGAAAAACATCCGATGAGACCATCGATGTTTTTAAAATTTTTAAAAAGCATCGATGTTTTTTGTCTAAACATCGATGTTTTTTTGTTATGTTTTTGCCGTCTCTATGAAAGAAAAACATAAAGAGAGAAGAAGATTAAGCGCAAAATGTATGTCGTTAATGGAGCTATTTGTTATTTATATTAAAACCCTCTTTTATATATAGCTTATAAATTGTCTTCGTTTGGATTGGAAGTAGCCTGTGCAGTGTGCAATTATTGAGCGATGGAAAAAAATCTTAAGAGTAAGTTATTCACGTTATTCAACAATAGAGTAAACGCACATGTGCTTTTTCACATGCACACACATACATACATATGTATGCATAAAATATTAATAAATATATTATTTCTATATCATAGGAACTTCAAAGGAAAACTGTGAGGCTGGACCTTTGAAAAGCAAACGTGAATACTCAATGATTGCGAATGATCGCAATTGACGTGCAACCGTTTAGTGTTGTCAATGATAGAGGATTTCGTGAGTTGTTAGCAGAAATGGACCCCCGCTACAAGTTACCAAGCAAAACCCATCTCCGTAACGTAGCGATTCCAAACGCATATGCAGATTTGAAAACAAAACTTAAATTTGCCTTGGATTGCGTGGAAAATGTGGCGATCACAGCCGACGGATGGACGTCCATGGCAAATGAGGGCTACTTAACCATAACTTGCCATTTTATAAATTCGGAATTCCAGCTAAATTCAGCCGTACTGTCCACAACGACTCTGATAAACCAAACTAACCACACGGCTGCCAATATCGCAGAATCGATTCGAGTGGTTTTAGTAGAGTGGGGTCTAGTGGAGAAAGTTGTTTGCATTGTGACAGACAATGACGCTTCGAAGAAAAAGGCTTGTGAGCGTCTCGGAATTACACATTTCCCTTGTTTTGCCCATACACTTAACTTGCTGATTCAAGATGTGCTAAAAATAGACATTCTTGATCCAGTTTTGTCGAAATGTAAAGCTATTGTTACTTTTATGAAACGCAGCCCTATTGGAATGGCAAAATTTAAACAGGCACAGGATGTTGAAAATCCGATGGGTTTAATTCAAGAAGTGGCTACTCGTTGGAACAGTGCGTTCGCCATGGTTAAAGGGCTCTTAGATACTAACGACACATTATCAACCGTCTTGCTTAGTTTGCCTAAGGCGCCACTACCATTTTCCGTAGAGGAAATTGATATTATGAAGGAATTAGCTGAACTCCTTTTTCCGTTCCAAGAAGCAACTGTCGCAATTTCCGGCAGCAAGTATGTAACCATATCTCTGGTTATTCCACTTACTTGCGAAATACAGCAAAAGCTGAACAACTTAAAATCGAAACTAAAAACTGTAGAAGTTCTAAGTGCCTTAAAATTCTTATGTACTCGTTTAAACACAAGGTTCCTTCACTACGAAACACGAACTGTTGCTCAAATAGCAACAATAATTGAAACACGCTTTAAAAAGGAGGGATTTTTAACGATTACGAATGCAGATCAAGCAGCTACTGCTTTGGAGACGGAAATTGATAATTTCTTGTCGAAAACTCCACAGGAACTTCAAACACTATCCGAACCTTCACCGAATCCAACATTTTCTTTTCTGCAAAACAAAGTAAAGGTTAAAGTTAAATCAACTCGCGCGGATGCCATTATGACTTTAGGACAACATCTGGAAAACCTTAACGAGCCCAAGGAAACTGATCCTCTCTTATATTGGAAGGTAATACTAATATTTCAATTGAAATACTTTTAAATTCATAGTTACATTTTTAGTGGATGAATACAGGCGTCATGATGCCATTTAAAGCTGCAGCCCGAAAATATTTTTGCGTCCCGGCAACATCCTGCGAGTCAGAGAGGATGTTCAGCAAGGCTGGACAAATTATTTCCGAACGTCGTAGTCGCCTTAAGCCGGAAGTGGTGGACCAGTTATTATTTCTAAACAAGAATCATGACTTGTTTTAAAATCTGGGAAAATTACCTTTTTTTTTGTATATTGTTCTGAATGGATTTTGATCTCAAATGAAATAAAACTGTTATTTTTTATAATTTTAATCATATGCTTTGCAGTATTGTATGTACTTTTTAAAATTTTTTTTGTTATCTTGCAAAACATCGATGTTTCATCGATGTTTTTCACTAAAACATCGAAAACATCGATGTCTCCAAACATCGATGTTTTTCCACCTCTACCAGGAACGCCGGCAGCGGAGCGTCGGCAGCGGAGCGTCGGCAGCGGAGCGTTCGCATTTATGTATTTAATGTTTATGCATGTATATATGTGTGTATATGCCCAGCGCTGCTGACAGCGAGGGCGCGAGGGAAGATGTATATGTATGTGTGTATGCATGTGCCGGGAATATGTTGACGCTGCACTTATGTCGCTCGAGACATTCTTGGCCGATCGTAATACGATAGCTCAGTTGTGTCTGGGACTTTTAATTACATAAACACTGCAACAAAGGGTTACAGTGTGTTCCCCTTAAGTACACTTGGTACAGTGGGTATTGAATATGTGCATACTACATCTCCTTCCTTTTGAAAAATAACGTATTATATTGGAGTTATTTTATAAAAGTTATTATTTATAAAAATTATTGTCATAGAGTTGTAATAGTAATATGTATTAAGTATAGGAGTTTAATATAATTGAAAAGAAATTTTCTTTGCGTAAATACATATATCTGATTAAAGATTTCCCAAAATAAAATGGTTCACTTTTTTCTTCCTTTTTTAATTTATTTTGTATTAAAATATGTTTTATGAAAATATATATTTTTTTTATTTGTCAATAATAAACGAATTTTCTTTGGTTGATCAGGCCATTATTTTTTCATGTTTCCCTAAATAGTTTTAGTCTATCCTTATTAACTTTTTGTCTTTTATTTTTATTTTCTATTATTATGTTGTTGTTATATTCTATTTGAACTACTGTAAATGGTGAACACCATACATATCTACTGTCTAGTTTATGTCATACTTCGTTTCTTAAAAGAACTATTGGCCCTATTGATACTTTAAAGTCATTTATGTTTTTATCGTATTCTAATTTTCTTTTTTGCTTTTTGCTTTCCAGCATTGTTCTGGCTCTTTTATATGCTGTTTCTAGCCTAAACTTAGATTCTTTAGCGTAGTCTTCTATATTGTATAGAGGTTCTATTCTATCTATGGTATTAAAATGTTGTAGTAAATTGGATTTTTTACTAAAAACTAGTTCGTAAGGACAGTAATTATGTGTCATTGATGGTGTAGTGTTGTAACAATATACGAATCATTGAAGCCATACGTCCCAATCAGTTTTATCTACTGATATATATGAACGTATGTATTCGTTGAATGTTCTGTGGCTTCGCTCAACCGTTCCTAGAGTCTGGTGATGGTGTACTGTTGATGTTATGTTGTCTATTTTTAGATATTTGCACAAATGATTGATTATAAAATGCTTATATTCTGTACCCATATCCGTTATGAACGTCTTCATAGGACCGTACTTTAGAATAAATGATTCAAATATAGCTTTAGCAACTGTATTAGCGCTTTTGTTAGCTATAGGTATGGCTACTATAGAGGTGGAAAAACATCGATGAGACCATCGATGCATCGATGTTTTTAAAATTTTTATAAGCATCGATGTTTTTTGTCTAAACATCGATGTTTTTTTGTTATGTTTTTGCCGTCTCTATGAAAGAAAAACATAAAGAGAGAAGAAGATTAAGCGCAAAATGTATGTCGTTAATGGAGCTATTTGTTATTTATATTAAAACCCTCTTTTATATATAGCTTATAAATTGTCTTCGTTTGGATTGGAAGTAGCCTGTGCAGTGTGCAATTATTGAGCGATGGAAAAAAAATCTTAAGAGTAAGTTATTCACGTTATTCAACAATAGAGTAAACGCACATGTGCTTTTTCACATGCACACACATACATACATATGTATGCATAAAATATTAATAAATATATTATTTCTATATCATAGGAACTTCAAAGGAAAACTGTGAGGCTGGACCTTTGAAAAGCAAACGTGAATAATACAATTGACGTGCAACCGTTTAGTGTTGTCAATGATAGAGGATTTCGTGAGTTGTTAGCAGAAATGGACCCCCGCTACAAGTTACCAAGCAAAACCCATCTCCGTAACGTAGCGATTCCAAACGCATATGCAGATTTGAAAACAAAACTTAAATTTGCCTTGGATTGCGTGGAAAATGTGGCGATCACAGCCGACGGATGGACGTCCATGGCAAATGAGGGCTACTTAACCATAACTTGCCATTTTATAAATTCGGAATTCCAGCTAAATTCAGCCGTACTGTCCACAACGACTCTGATAAACCAAACTAACCACACGGCTGCCAATATCGCAGAATCGATTCGAGTGGTTTTAGTAGAGTGGGGTCTAGTGGAGAAAGTTGTTTGCATTGTGACAGACAATGACGCTTCGATGAAAAAGGCTTGTGAGCGTCTCGGAATTACACATTTCCTTGTTTTGCCCATACACTTAACTTGCTGATTCAAGATGTGCTAAAAATAGACATTCTTGATCCAGTTTTGTCGAAATGTAAAGCTATTGTTACTTTTATGAAACGCAGCCCTATTGGAATGGCAAAATTTAAACAGGCACAGGATGTTGAAAATCCGATGGGTTTAATTCAAGAAGTGGCTACTCGTTGGAACAGTGCGTTCGCCATGGTTAAAAGGCTCTTAGATACTAACGACACATTATCAACCGTCTTGCTTAGTTTGCCTAAGGCGCCACTACCATTTTCCGTAGAGGAAATTGATATTATGAAGGAATTAGCTGAACTCCTTTCTCCGTTCCAAGAAGCAACTGTCGCAATTTCCGGCAGCAAGTATGTAACCATATCTCTGGTTATTCCACTTACTTGCGAAATACAGCAAAAGCTGAACAACTTAAAATCGAAACTAAAAACTGTAGAAGTTCTGAGTGCCTTAAAATTCTTATGTACTCGTTTAAACACAAGGTTCCTTCACTACGAAACACGAACTGTTGCTCAAATAGCAACAATAATTGATCCACGCTTTAAAAAGGAGGGATTTTTAACGATTACGAATGCAGATCAAGCAGCTACTGCTTTGGAGAAGGAAATTGATAATTTCTTGTCGAAAACTCCACAGGAACTTCAAACACTATCCGAACCTCCACCGAATCCAACATTTTCTTTTCTGCAAAACAAAGTAAAGGTTAAAGTTAAATCAACTCGCGCGGATGCCATTATGACTTTAAGACAACATCTGGAAAACCTTAACGAGCCCAAGGAAACTGATCCTCTCTTATATTGGAAGGTAATACTAATATTTCAATTGAAATACTTTTAAATTCATAGTTACATTTTTAGTGGATGAATACAGGCGGCATGATGCCATTTAAAGCTGCAGCCCGAAAATATTTTTGCATCCCGGCAACATCCTGCGAGTCAGAGAGGATGTTCAGCAAGGCTGGACAAATTATTTCCGAACGTCGTAGTCGCCTTAAGCCGGAAGTGGTGGACCAGTTATTATTTCTAAACAAGAATCAGGACTTGTTTTAAAATCTGGGAAAATTACCTTTTTTTTTTGTATATTGTTCTGAATGGATTTTGATCTCAAATGAAATAAAACTGTTATTTTTTATAATTTTAATCATATGCTTTCCAGTATTTTAAAAAATTTTTTTTGTTATCTTGCAAAACATCGATGTTTCATCGATGTTTTTCACTAAAACATCGAAAACATCGATGTCTCCAAACATCGATGTTTTTCCACCTCTACTAGGTGGAACATTTGGGTTCGACATATTGGCTTCCGTCTTTTTCTTACTCTGTGCTCGCGTCAATAATGAATGCGCAACTGTAGGAGCTCGATGATTTGAACCAGAAGGCTGCAGGTCAGAGGTCAAACTTTCCAGAGATGCACTCACTCACACGGGGCAGACTTTAGGTATCCCCGCTTGGGAGGAAAAGCAAGCTCTATGAAACTCGTGACCACAGCTAGAAACTAGCAATTGGGCTTGAAGGAAATTCCTTCCGAGCAAATCAAACAGATCTTTCCCGTGTCTTGCAATGTGGACAAATTCTCAGTACTTCGAGCGAGGGGCATAACTAATGGTTTTTTTTTTTTTCTTTTTTTTTGCCTATCTATGGTATGACTAATAGGAATACAAATATATGGTAATAATGAACAAAATAAAAACGGTAAACGCTTAACAAAAGAGATATAAAACAATCAAAAAGTCTATAATTTGGGTGCCATGCAATCGGTTGCCGTTACTGTCCTCTACATCAATCTTGTCCTATATCCGTCCCTGGGAAAGTTATGTACCTCCACGGTATGTGCATCTACATGTGAGGATGGCTTGTCAATAACAAAGTATATTAACAACAACACATTCACGACTCACACCGAACATTTAATGAACTGATCTTACTATTACTATTACGAGTTTACGGATCACTGACGAAACCCACACGCACAGAATACAAAAAGGCAAACGGCAACAATTTGGTTCTGTCGATTTAAGGACTTCCGTGACACTAACACTCAAGTAAAACAGACTAGATACAAAAAAAATGATACAAACTACACACACGCCAACTCTATCAGTGTTAATTGTGAAAAGATGGGATGGCCACAGCTCAGTTGTTCGCGTAGAAACCAATAAACGACATCTAAATAACAAAAAATAAGTTAGCATTAAGTCCCCTTTTTGTTTGCAGTGTTAAAGCTCGGATAGCTAAAACTTATACTGCGATTCTAAGGGTACGGGTCTCGTGTACTTACTTAATGAGGGTCTACTCTTGTGGATAGGTAAATGTCAAACAGATGTTTCGTCAGATGTTATGGACGTATACTTTTACATTAATGAGATCGGGGCATACCGGATGGACCTGTCATTACAACAGCTTCGTGCCCCACCTTGGGCGTCAAATAATTATGATCTTTAATGCTGTGAATGCTAAATGTTAAATGTTAACCCGCTGTAATGGGCTACAAGCGCAAGCTGCTGGATAAGCTGCTTAAGCTATGTAGGAGAGGGAGTGGTAAGGAAAAGATATTATGAGGCAGTGAACGGCATAGGCCGGATATAGGGCATGAGAGGGCTGAAAATTACAATAGGTACCTTTTAGTGGCAGTTATATGCCCACTTCATTCCTCTCCAACGTAGAAGCGCCTCGACGTCGGCTGTAACGAAATTAAAGCGAATACCTCGAAGAGAGCGCTACCACTCTCTCTCTGCACCTACTCTCATCCGTACCGATGCAGCGTCTTGCCCTCTCGCTTTCGCGATATACTTCCAAGCTACGCTATGCTTAGCTTGGCGGGATTTGTTGGTAAGGTGGATGAGGGAATGAAGGAATTAGATAGGAGAGGGAATAAAGGAATTAGATGGGAGAGGGAATAGCTGGATCGCTCTACAGCATTGCCTGACGCCTATACTCCTTCCCGCTTTACTTTCCCCTCCCTTTAATGTGAATTATAAGATCGCTTGCGCGGAAGGCGCTTAACTAACTACACTACACTAAAGGGCCGTTACGGCGTTTGCCTGATCTGTTGCGGCTGATGCTATTGTTGGTGCGTTCCTCTGTTGTTGGTGCGCAGACGCTGTTGTTGGTGCGTTGCCACTGTTGCTGGTGCGCAGACGCTGTGGTTGGCGCGCTGACGCTGTTGTTGGATGGGAACTACTGCTTTTGCTTCTGCTTGGGCGCGCTGACGCTGTTGATGGCTGAGAGCTGCAGTTTTTGCTTCTGCTTGGGCGCGCTGGCGCAGTTGTTGGCTGAGAGCTGCTGCTTTTGCTTCTGCTTGGGCGTGCTTTGCCTGATGATGACAATAAGGCTAGCACGGCCGTTGCGATTAAAGCCGCTATATGCCGTTGCTGGCGGCCTAGCGCTGTCTGATGAAGCTGGGCAAGCGCGTCTAGCTGAACGCTCGGTTGTTTGCTGGCGCTGCCTGCTGATGGGCTGTTTTATTTTTATATTTCGCCCTTTCGTTTGCTTTCACTGGATTAAATTTTTTCGAGCGCGCACTACTATACTGTCTCAATACTCCTCGGGAACTGCCCCTGCCTCATTCTCTCGTTCAAGCCGCGATCGAAACTCCATTCCAGACTCTCTCCGACCCGAGCCACTTTGGGGAAATTACCTCCCCTGTCCGTTACTTTCACTCAAAGGTCCGAGAGAGAAGTCCGCCTTCAGTTCCGTAAACCCATTCCGTAAACATACTTTTAGGCCGTCCAGATAAGCCACACTACAGTCCATCAGCCCGAACACAAGACACTGCACGAGGCAGTCCATCAGCCCGAAAACACGAGACACTGACTAAGCAATCCACCAGCGCACCAAACAACTACAAGCCAGAGTAACAATGTAAAAGAACTAAGTGAATGAAAATATAATGAATAAACCAAGAACAACCCAAAATCCAAACTCTCGCGTCATCATTTCTCCCTTGCCTACTGCTTTTCAAGCGAGCCCGCCACCTGAAGTCACCTGCAATCTACAAATTTTCTTGTAGCGGACCCTGGACCTCAGCCTGAGATAGGACCTCACAAAATTAATGCGTGTTTGAAAACATCTAATTTGTGGCGCTCTGTGAAAACACTTAGATTGACTACAAATGTACGTGTTCAATTGCAAAACGATGCTTCAGCAGATTTGTTTTCCAGAAAACTGTTAGACATTGATAATGGCATACTTCCCGTTGACAATTCTGGCTTCATAACGCTTCCAAATAATTTTTGCACTTTTGTCTCATCGAAGGAATACTTGATTCAGAGCGTGTTTCCAAATATTGTACAAAATTATAGAAACCATGACTGGTTGAGGGAAAGAGCAATTTTGGACGGAACAAATAAAGGTGTCCATGAGATCAACGCATCTATTTTAAATTCCATCCCAGGAGAAATGGTTGCGTATAAGTCGGTTGATACAATTATCAATCAAGATGATGTTGTAAATTATCCAGTCGAATTTCTAAATTCATTGAACTTACCTGGATTGCCGCCATACTATTTACAAGTAAAAGTTGGAGCCACCATAATAATGCTGCGGGATCTTAATCCACCACGACTTTGCAATGGTACAAGACTTGCTGTGAAAAAAGTTATGACTAATTTACTTGAAGAAACTATTTTGACTGGGAAATTTTGTGGTGAACGTGTCTAATTCCGAGAATTCCGATGATTCCGACTGATATGCCATTTTATTTCAAACAACTACAATTTCCGATACGTCTTGCTTTTGCTATGACTATTAATAAATCACAAGGACAGTCGTTGCAAATTTGTGGTTTAAATTAGGAGCATCCGGTATTTTCACATGGTCAACTGTATGTAGCGTGCTCACAAGTAGGCAAACCTTCGGCATTAATTACACTAGTCAACACGATTTTTCCTCAAGGAACAAAACGAACTTTTTCTTAAAGATTTGGGGCTTAGAAATGGTTTGATGATTTTTTTTTTTTTCTATGGCAGAACTTTTTTTTTAAGAATTTTTGAAAACTGGTATTTTTTTTTAAAGCTTTTTTTAGAGGTAGCGCTTGTTTTTTTCACATAGCTCTAGTATCTTACGTCTGGTTGTAAAGAACTTTGCTATTTTGAAAAGATAATTAAAATAGCTCATCATTTTTGCATTTCAATGGTTTATTTTCCAGACGGTAAGCTGTAATCACAAAGTGTTTGGGCTTAACTCACTTTGTGATTACAGCTTACCGTCTGGGAAATATAAACCATTGAAATGCAAAATGATGATTTTTGGGCGGTATTTTTTACGAAATTTTGACTTTAAAAACTCAGGAAAAGTCGAAAAAAAATTATATCCTGTGTCCTCTATTTTTTTGTGTATAGGTGCATTAATTTGGCGTCGTTCCAGGTATCGCTCATTAAAATCTATTGAGAGACTTTGGAGCTAAAATTCGTTAACCAAACCTAAAATATGAAAAAAATGAACAAAAAATACCTTTTCGATGGTTGCGGGCCCAAGGTATTAAGGTATTACACCTATGTATGTATGTATGTGTGAATACAAAAATAGACATTAAGAAAATTAAAATTGTAAAGTAATACATCTCGGCACCTTTCTTGGCCTTTTGCAGAATGTTTAGAATGCTCTAAAACATGAGGGGTAATAATAACCAATTTAACGACCGCACTTGTACACCAATGTAAATTGATATTTAGACACAAACTCATAAATTGTCTAGTTCTTAAGTGCACAGCCGAGAAATCTCTTAAAAAGGTCCCACGCTGACAGATGTCTGCGATGCGTTGGTCGCCGATGTCACACCAATTGTACACACATGTGTTATCTTATTTTGTTACCAGAGCTCCAGTGTGCTCACACACAAACACATACCACTGAGTTGGCACTAGGCCTAAGCCTAGTTTTGCTTCACAGTAGAGCTACCTAATGTCATACAATTTTAATAAAGATAAAGTTTTAATATTGAACTCAACAAATGTAGATGTCTTTTCTTTTAAGGCATTTAAAAAATATAAAGATACTTTGTCGGTAAAAACTCATAGAAAACCGCTTAATATTGAAGCTATTATTCTCCCAA